TGCGTTATACCGTTGTCCGATCTCGTCGATTTTGCCCTCCTTCCTGGACATATTCTTGGCTTCGCCAAATAACGTTCTTCGAGACAAAATCGTTGCTCGGGTATCTACTCTTCCATGCGTACACTCGTGGAACCACCAAAACTTAAGCCGCCTTGTTTGCGTACTTTGTTTGGCAACTCGTGAATGACTTGCCACGACTACATTTGACCTCACTTGCAGGCGACTCGGACCGGTGAAACTGGATTGCCCTGAAGTCTAAAAGTCTAGACTATGTGCGGCGTACACTACAGTAATTAGTTGACGGCACTATCAGCTGGCCAAAAACTTCAGTCCTTTCACACGTTGCGCTCAGTATCAGCGATTCATCGGAAGCCTATGCCGCATGTGATAATATTATATACAAATACCCGCTAGCAGTATTTCAGCTTTCCTCTCCCTCCGTTTCCTTCAGCCTATTCCCTCCTCCCGCTATGTCAGCGCAACCCCCAGAATCCCATTCAACCGCCAACACCCTGCTTTCCGCCGCTTCTACTGGCCTACGGGAACGTCATGCCAGTGCACACGCACCGCCCCCTGGTCGAGGCGTGCTTGAAATTACTTCTATATCTTCCGTGCCCCAAAACGCAGTACTCGACGTCGAGGACATTGGCCCACTGGATCAAGACAAGAAAATTACACCAAGTCCTTCGCCGGAGATCCCTACCTTATCGCAGCTCCCCAACCTATACATTGATAAGCAAAGCGCGGGCATCTCTGGATACACACCCGGCACGCTCACTCCTGGATACTCTGGCCCCAACACCCCTGCGGTGACCGCTCGCGAGGCATATTTTGAGGACTCATTTACCGCCCCTATCTTGGAAAATACTGTCGAGGTAGTCCGACTGAAGCGCAGGCTTGCTGTTTCATTTTTTGGTTTCTTTTGCGCTGGATGGTCCGATGGCAGTGAGCTGAATCTCACGGCTACGTCACGATGACCTGAATTATGACTAATTGTCGCATACAGTCACCGGGACGATCCTTCCCCGTTTTGAAGAGACATACCATGTCAGCTATCTTGTGGTGTCTCTTCTCTTCATTGCATCCACCTTTGGGTACGTCCCACCTATCTTCCTATGGCACCGTTGACTAAACGTCCATAGATTCGCCGTTGGCACTATCGTCATTGAGCCGCTATTCAACACTCTTGGTCGGTTCTCAATCTCCGCACGCCACCGTCGATTCTTCCCGGTTTTCCCTTCACATATTTCCGACATACAGACGGGCGTGTCGATGTCTCAAGGCCGCTGTGGTGTCCTCATCATTGGTGCCCTTTGTCAATGCGTGTATTTCTCCATTGCGGCTGCGAAGGGCTCGTTCTCTGCTATGATTGTTGGGTTTGTGTTTTCAGGGATTGGTATCTCACTCTTGAGCGGTGAGTGTTCTATTTGTGGGGTGAGAGGGTTCCTAACACTGAAATCACATCATCCAGGTCAGTCCAACGCGTACGTTGCTGCGCAGAAATCTGCGGGAAGATACCTTGGTGCGTGGCTCCCGCCGAATTCTGGAGGACAATGCTCACAGAGGCTTCTCCCGACTACAGGATGGCTTCATGGGTGTTATGGTTCGTGTATACATACATTCTGTAGATTTCGATAAACTCATCTTTCGTATCCCCGGTGCAGGTATTGGAGCGTTCGCGTCTCCCCTAATTGGTCAAACACTCCTCGCCAGAGGTTGGCAATGGCCGCGATTCTTCCTCATCTCTGTCTGTTTAAGCTTAATCAACACCGCTGGGACCGTCTACGCGTTTCATACGGCGAAAGAGGAATTCATCACAGAAAAGGCCAAGGCGCGCCAGGAGCACGACGCCTTTGAGCTTCAGAGCCGCGTGACAAGCGATGGCGCCGAGGAGCAGCCAGATGAAGCCACGCCGCGGAGGATATCAAGGCGCTCTAGAACAAGGACTGCGGGAGAGAGAAGCGGCGAGTCTAACGCTTGCGGATATGTTTAACTGCTTGGCTGACATACTTTGATGCAGCTATGCGGATGACGTTAAGCCAGCCGTTTGTGTGGATCTTTGCCCTCTTCCTATGCACTTATACAGGAGTGAGCAAAGCTTCTATGATCACTCTACCTCCGGCTGATATCTTCGATAATTTTGTAGAGCGAGACGACCAACGGAGGCTGGAGTGAGTGATCCAGCCATGTCTTTATTCTGTCTCACACCAATAACGCACAATTTCAGTTGTCACTTTCCTGCTTACGGAGCGAAATGCTAACCCGGATACCGTTGGATACGTTGCGAGCGGTAAGTTTTGTATACAATGTGCATATATTCCGAACCTGACGCTTTGGTAGGTTTTTGGGGTGGACTCGCTTTGGGCCGGTTATGTCTGGGTCAAGCTTCCCCCTAGTATGTCTAGGCCCTTAAGCTTGTGTCACATGGACTCAAGAATAATCATTCAGTATTGGCATCAAACGCGAGAAGCACCTAGTACACGTTTACATTGGTGTGTATCCAGTTGTCTTTATAATTGCCTCGTGGCTAACTGGGGCCGCCTCTTCCAGGTGTGGCACTCTTGATGACTGTACTCGTGTGGAAAGTGCCATCGTTTGTGGGTAACGCTTTTTGCACCGCGATTGTCGGATTTGTACTCGGACGTGAGCTATCTATTCCACCTGCCCAACGCTAGCGATTTTACTTACTAAATCATTTAGCAATCTTCCCAACAAGCCTCTCGTTAGCAACCAAGGTCAGCCCCCTCGTTCTCTTCCACACCACTTACTCATGTCGTCCAACCCCCCAGCTATTACCAACAGAGATCCACATGACAGCACTCGCAACTATGTCAAGCTTTGCAAGTATTGGTTCGGCCCTGTACCCGTTCGTGACAGGTGCGCTCGCCAATGCCAAGGGCGTTGCCGTTCTCCAGCCCGTAATGCTCGGGATACTGTCTGTCATGGCAGGGTTGTGGTGCTTGTTCCCAACCCGAAGCATCGGCTAATTGAACTGCGGCTGGACGTGGTGTAGAGTGTGTATGATGGAGTGACGCTCTTGGTGAACAGCATTGTTGGAAGTTGTTTCTTTGTGGTTTGGAATTGTTTTGTTCCTTGCGTGTATGCTAGGTTCAACCATCTTCTTGGGAAATAGACATATCTGCTTGCGACTGAATCACGATCGGGTGCATCACGATAATACATAAAAACGAGTCCTAGTGTACTAGTACAGAGTCAACGAACGAGAGGGACAAGCTATAATAGATATGCGCTGGAGCACAAGCAGGAATGGGTAACAGTAGCAGCAAGAAGTTCCGAGGGCTGGGTCAGGTTAGCTATCATCGGACGAATCCGAAGCGGTGTCTACAAGGTCATCAATGTCTCCATCTGCCTCTGTGCGCGAGTGAGAGGCGCTAGATTGGCGGGTTGGCGGTGGTGGTGGAGCTTTATCTACGTGACCGAGCGCATTAGGTACGCCATTGGGTTAGTGAAGCTGAACTCACCGATTACGACCCCGGTGGTTCGAGGTATGGAGGGGCCGCGTCCAAGTAGAGGACGTGGCGGACCGGTACCACGGACTATTCTCGGAGGTGCTGGGGCTGGTGGTAGTTGTGGCGTGTGTGTTGGGGTTGTTGAACTGGAGCCAGCAGGTGAAATAGGTGTTTGGGAGTTTTGCAGCTTGGAAGGTATGCGGGTAACACTGGACATTTTGGCTTGCGAGGGCGAAGGAATAGAAGGCTTCATAGCCATAAGGTAAGGATACTGGAGACGGAGGGAGGAGAAACTGTGCCAACTTACCGTGGCCGATCCCTCCAAGTCGGCCGGTTGAAACGCAAGGGGCTTGCCGTTTGCAGCTATGGAACCAATGTGGGTATAAATGTGTACTTGAAGTGTAGACCTGCGCAACCTACCTTTTCCAACCTTTTGTTTCTTTGCCTTGCTCGGTTTCGCAGGTGCAGCACTCTCGCGCTTGTTGTTCCCATTCGTGGATTCGGGTGCGTCGGCCTCTGCACATCCGCCCCAAGCACATTAACATTAAATGCAACAAATAAACAAACTTAAACTCACTCTTCTTCTTTTTCGAAGCCTTTGGTTTCGCATTCGGCGTGCCAGCCCCTTGGTCTTCGGCGCCATTAGTGCTCCCAGATCGTTGAAGCGGCGTAGCTGCTCCTGATTCGGCGCCCGCCCTGAATTTATCCAAGTTGTTTGTGAGTACACCCGAGCAAATAATAGAAATATAAGAGGTCCTACCGTCCTTTGCCAGCTGCATTTCTCGGGCCAGCCCGGCGTGTATTCCCGAGTCCGAGACAGCTTGCCAAATGGTTCGCATATCGGTTTGGAGTAACCTGTATGACACACCCGACAATCAGAATAAGTAAAATCAATGCTACACGTAGTAATGCTTACCTGGCGCTGGCATTTTATGCAATCCAACAAGACCGGTAGTTCCGGTTTAACACCGTTCCCATTCGTAGTTCCGGTAGCACCGCCAGCTGATGTCATGGATGTACCAGGCAGACCACTACTCGTGCCTTGGTTTATATGTTCTGGTCGTGCCAGACATCGAATTAATATAGGCTAAACCTTGGCGCTACTTGGCATACCTTCGAGTCGACACCTGCGGAGAACATGAATGGTTAATATATTGGCTGAAGGGCCTTAAACTTACCTTGTATGACAAACTCCACATACAGACCGGTTCCTCAGTCCAGCTTTGTGCTCGTCTAGCGCAATGCCGAGCACAATATCCTCGAGCATCGCATCGAACACTGCATGCGCCTTTCTCCGCTTAGTCAAAATCCGGGCCTTGCACATAAAATTTAACAGCTTACCAGCGCATCTATTTCTGCATTAGACATCAGAGCGCACGGTGGTCGTCGGTGGCAGGGTGATGACGCGAAAGTCACGTGGCGCTAATTAATGTGTTCCTATGTGTGCTTTAGGAAAGGCACCTTGCGTAGGCCAGAAATGGGCCAAATGAACCTTTTGGATTGCCCTCTCGTGCGCACTACAAGCAAAAATGACCACCGCAGGGGTTGAACCTGCAATCTCCTGATCGATTTATACGGTTCGTAGTCAGACGCGATACCATTTCGCCAGGCGGCCTTATCTAGATGTTCATGGTAGAGAAGCAGACCCATTTCTCGCCAGATTTGACTTTTGAGAGTCGTGGAGCTTGCACTTAGGGCTTTGGGCGGTAAAACGTTATTAGACTGGAGCCCAGACATATCACGTATCTCCTTGTCAGAGCATAAATATTTTCAATCATAGGGGGAGTTGTACCAGCCCATACAACCAGCAGGGCTGTGGACCCATTTCTCGCCAACTTCGGATCCCACCGGATCGCAACGGAACCAAACGAATGCATATTCGCACTGCTGTATTACATAATTTAGAATAGTGTATTTTCTCCACTCTAGCCCCGTCGGAACCAATTGATTCCGAAGGTCACTTTTGTGTCAAAGTATGCATTTTTGTCCAAAATGTTTGTAAGACTGGTTTCGGATAGTGAAATATATCAAGTAGATATACGAGCATACATGCAGCATCAAAATGAAAAGTGATCGTGCAGTCAGCTGGTGAGACCGTAGCTTCCGAAGGTCTCGTGATGACTTAGAATTTGCCCAGAAAGCAGCTCGTATGCACTCTTACTCGGCCATAACTGAGAATTTTGTTGCCAAACTCATAATATGGAACCGCATAGACGTTTTGTATATGCGACTATTTATGCTGTATTTTTATCCCAAAGCGTGTGCGGGGGAGTGGCCGATTGGCGAGAAATGGGTCTGCCTTTGTACACAATCTATGTTGGTGGGAGATTTAAATTGGAGGTTTATCAAAAAAGAAGGACAAAAAAGTACTGTGTGTATTGAGTTATTAGATATAAAACGGGCGAAACTACCTACTCTTAGTATCTAGACGACCTAGACAGTGCAAATACCACGACAATCACCACGCCCAAGAACCCAACACTCGCGGGCAACACCATATCCCGTGGTACAACTCCAAACAACTTGTCGTCTTCCGGCGGATGCGCGTGAGGGTGCGCCACTGTCGGCGTGGGTTCCGCTGCCTTCGTCTCAGTCCTTTCCACCAACCGCGTCTCTTCTTGAGCTGCGCGGGTCGCCTCCTCTGCTTTCTTCTCCGCATCTTTTTGGCCGGCAAGATCCCATGCCTTCCCTCCGTGAATATATATGATGACCCGGTCTTGCTTGGCCTGTCGTGCAATACGCACTGCGTCTGTCACATCCGAATCTGCGCTGATCTCCACGGTGTCCCCATCGGCATCCGTGTACGACAGCGTGAAATCAAGTGGATCCGGGCGGGGGAAATCGGCTGGTGCGTCTTCAGGCACCTCGAAGAACGGATCAGTCGCAAGTTTTCCTGCAATAATGTCTCGCAGGTTTTCGACGTTGTCCTGACGTGCTTGGAATCGATGTGTCCGCCCACTTGGAGTGCGGCACTTGAACACATATGTTCCATCATCGACGGGCTCAGCGGCAGGAACTCCGTCAAGAACCGAACCATGATGATGGTGACGCTCTTCGATGACAGAGGCCGAGTCGCTCGGGTGCAACTCTGAGTGGGGAGAGCGGCCGACCCCTAGACGGTTCGGGTCGGGGAAGTGGGATGAGTTGGCGTCAGTTGGCATATTTGAGCCAGAGATGGCAGATTCATTGTCATCTGCATGCCCAAACGACTCGAAGAAACGACCCCACATAGGACCGGCTTCTGCTTCGTTGCTAGTGTCTACACCACTGAGAGAGTTAATCTAAGGTTTGCAGTGAGCGCCGAACAAAATACTCAAGAGCACGACAATATATACCTGTTCAAGGGTAGCATATGTCAGCTTGAGCACGTCGACGATCGCCACAAGTCTGCCCTCTGGATCGACCACTGGCAGGTTTAGGTACCGCCCATCTAAGACAGAGTTAGAGTCATACCTTCAAGGTTAGTATTAAAGAACTCACTGTACATCTTCTTGAGCGCATCGTGGACGGTCATAGTCGGCTCGGCGACGTCTGGATGAGGAGTCATAACCCTTATGACACTGCACCGCCCTGGATCGAGCCCGGCAGCAATAACTCGCAAGACAACATCCTTGCTTGTGAAGATCCCAACAATTTTGGCGTGTCCCCCAGCTTGGCCAGCCTCCATTACGCACACGGCTGTCGTCCGGTTCTCTTTCATGAGCTTGGCAGCTTCGCGCACGGTTGTACGTGGGTTGACCATTGCAGGCTGTGTGCGCGCGTCCATCAAGGTCGTAAGATCGGGGAGAGCAGTCTTTTCGCGTAGCGAGGCGGCATAGGACATCATCGCCAAGGCTTGCGGATTGGCGTTAATCCCGTTCCCGAGCTCAGTTTGGACGCCTTCAAGCGCGGCATGAAGCTTGGCTGAAGCCGAAGAGCCGCGCTCCACCTTGTCGAGCGCTTCATGAAAAACTTTAGTGATGTCCAACAAACCGACGACGTTGCCTTCTTCGTTACAGACGGGCTATGTCTGGGAATAAACAACACAAATAAGAAAACGAGGGCATATCACTTACCAAATGGCGGAACCCGCGCTGTACCATGAGCTGCAGTGCCTCGGTCGCACTGGTCGTGTCGCGCGTCACCATCGGCCCCCTCGTCATAATCGCGCTCACGGGCGTAACGCGAGGGTCGAGTCCCTCGGCCGTGACCTGCCCAGATCCGCGTTCATCAGCATAAAAATTACGCAACTAGCGGGAGAGATGCTTACGCGGAACGCGAGATCCTTGGCGGTAAAAATGCCACTCAGCCCCTCTTCCTCATCGACAACCAAGACACAGTCGGTGCGTTTAGCGGCACAAAGCTGGCTAGCATCTGATACGGTAATCGACTCGGGGACGGTGAGCGCAGGGCTAGGCTTGAGCGCGGCAACAGTGCCTTTAGCAGCGTTCGTCTTGCCGGGCTTGTGCGACTTGTGCAGACCACTCGGGATGCCCCGTTTGCGCGACAACTCGCCCTCGATCTTCTTTCTGATTGCCTAGAGCGAGATAAGTGCAGCCCTTGACGAAGCTCGCTGCAGCATACCTCGTCGCGCGTCTTCTGCCTCCGGCGAGTGTCCGAGACATTGCCGACTGAGAGGTTACTCGCCATTGACACGTGGTGGTTCGGCGATGTAGGCGAGTCCGAGTGCGGACGGCTAGGAGAAGGCAGGTGTGTTGAAACAGGGATACGCGACATCGCCGGCCAGTACAGCTGCCCTGACTAGTGGCGGGTCCAGTTTTATGGTGTTTGGCGCTTAGATCGGCGGGCCAACCAACCCATTCAGACTCGCTCTCTCCGCTCTCTAGCTCTACGTCTACCAACTCGCCTTTGTCTGCACCACCGCCTTTACCTACCTGTTTGCGCCAGAGCCCAGCTAAAAGTCTGGGCCCAACACCTTACCTTCGCACACTCGCATAAACCGAGGAAAGCGCAAGCTCAATCCTCGATCTCCGGCAACGATTCCTTTCGAAGCTTGCGACACTGGCAAAAAGGCGATCCTACATAATTTGAATATGCGCATGCGGACTTCCTCGGGCGTGGAGTGAGCACGCACTCTGCCCCTTCGATCTCCCATACCTCGCCTGGCTTGAACCACGCTTTGGGCACGCATGCGCAAAATTAACAGCACGCCCCGATCAAACGTGCAACGACTCGCCGTTTGGGTGAATCCCCGCAAATGGCACCTTGGAGTACGTCCCTAATCCCTCCAAATACCGCTCGTTCAGGGCCTACGCAAGTCAGCTTCTGCACTCTGGGAGAAGTGGAGGGACAGGGCTAAGAGTGCGAAGGGAGGATTTGGCAGTACACGCTACATCTCCCGCATTGCCCAGAGTTCAAGAAGGGTAAGGGGTTAGAGGGGATGGGAGCGGGTCGGTAGTTAGGTCCGAAAATGTGGCGGCCAAACCAGTCGTGACAGCAGAGTTGAGAGTGAAATGGGAAGACTCCTCCGAAGGAGCGGTCAGGCAAGGTCCGTCATCGCCGACGCCAGGAAGGTCGGAGCCGGAGTTTGTCGAATTTCTATCTCAGGGTTTGATAGCCAACAAACCCGGCTCGTCACCACTGTCCTCCTCTCCCCCATCCAAGCTAGGGCCGATTAAAACAGCCCCTACCCCGACCTTGGCAGTGGTCGCCTCATTATTTACGTTAGTCCGTACGGTCGGCTTGACAGGAGATGGTTGGATTGTTTGCTGGGTCCAGCTTTCGCTTTTTTTATACTTTATGAGGGAATCAATAACAGGAGACGAGCTTTTTGGCATGTAAGATGGTATATGAGCAAACAAAGGCAGAGCCGAGATTGATGGTTGTGGCTAGATAGAAAGGGAAGATGACGTTATTACAAATGACTCGCAATCGGGCTTCTCCAACAGGGTCCATGTGAGAACCATATATTATTTGTATTTTCACACTGACATCCGTCTTCTTGCCTCATGCCAGAATCTTCCTAAGGACCTCGATCTGGCGATCCACTGTTTGCCGACTCGTTCCGCCAATCGCATTTCGCTGCTCCACACTCTTCTCAAAGTCAAACACGCCCACCACATCCTCCTCGAACTTGGGACTAAGTTGTTTGTACTGCTCGAGAGTAATGTCCGAAATCTGGATTCCCAGAGATTCGGCCAAGGCGACCGCTCGACCCGAAATATGGTGGGTCTCCCGGAACGGCACCTGTTCAAGATGTGAAATTATGCCCATATGACATGTTGGAAAGGTACTTACCCCTTTGCGGACGAGATAATCCGCTAGATCGGTTGCAAGCATGTCCATAGTCAGCGCAGCACGCATCTTGTTGGCGTTGACATTGAGAGTCGCAATGACGCCTTCTGCGATCTGGAAGGAAGCTGTGACCGTGTCTACTGCATCAAACAGGGGTTCTTTGTCCTCCTGGAGATCCTTGTTATACGTCGACGGCAACCCCTTCAAAGTCATGAGGAATCCAGCCATCTGTAGTCAAGGCATTATGAGCGCGAGGACCCGTTGATAGCAGGGTGATACATACGTTCCCAAAAACGCGCCCTGATTTACCACGAAGGAGCTCCAACGAATCAGGGTTCTTCTTCTGGGGCATCATACTCGACCCGGTGCTAGTGACCCGAA